GGCTCACCAGTTTAGAGGCTGACGGTATTGACGTTAGCGAATTGTACGGAGTATACTAACGCAAGATCTTATACCAACAACTACCATAGTATTCGCTCTTCGTGTACCAAAGATAAAGCAAAAGACCAGATTTAGTCGTCCAAAGTACGTGATGTATTTCGGTACCAAATAGTAAACCGTATCGAGTGCTTAACTAGTTAGTAATCGTGCACGCACGTGACACGACAGAGTACCAAATGGCATGGATGCTTGACCGGAAGCCTTCAGCTAAACAAGTCGACTTAAACAGTGAGAGTCAGCATCCAATGTTGAGTGATGATTGCTGTGGTCAATAATTTTGGGGAATTATTTACCGCTACAACCTTAGCCAACTAGTCAGATGATTGTATCCTAAAATCGTTGATACAGAGATGTAGTACATGAATTACGTCACAAATTCCATCAAGATTTATAATATGAGTACTGTAGGGATAATAGGCTTATGGGAAATTTCTAGATGCGGGGGAGTAATATTTTTACGAAGGTATGGAACTGTTGATGGATGTGTATAAATGTCCGACCTGTCACTGCAGAAAATGTCTTAGAAGATATGTCGTCTCCTTTTCAGGTCCATGGGTGCTACAGATTGGTGAAGGAGCCAAAAAGCAGCATGATATACAGTTATCTGGAAAAATTTGTGTACGGTAATACTTTTGAACTATCCATGAGGACTTCAATTAGGAATTAAGAGGTTTCTTTGGGACACATACTAGAAAACTACCCAGTATAACTATTTTTAACATTAATTTTGACGTCTATAAAAAGGTTTTTTTTAAATTACGCTCATGAACTAAGGGCTCATCTAATTGACCGACCAGGGACATTTAATTCTGTCCTTTGTTTGGTTTGCCGCTAAACTAACCCTGACCCCAACCTTGCATTGGCCGTAACTCTAATCTAAGCCTAACCATGCTCTATCAGAAGCCCCAATCAAATCCTGACAATACATTGCCCTCAACCGTAACCCTAACTCTAAATCAGGGTAAAACTGACAACGACGACTAATGCTGAGCGATCCGACTGGTTGGTTCAAGGTCGTTTAGCTGCAGTATCCAGGTCAAGTTAAACTGTAAGCATCACTCACTACCAATGGAGTATGACCACACCAATGACCTTGAGACGCTCACTGAGCAAGTTAATGAAATCCGGCATATACTGTTGTCATCATCAATAAAATATGCTAAACGAAGTGTTATGTTATTGAATGGGATATCTGGTAAGTTTCAGCTTAGGTTTGGCAAAGACTAAGTGGCAACTCTAAACAATAGGGACCCAAACCGAAACGACCTACGAACACACAAACGACCTTGAGAAACCAATCAGGTGACCCTGTTGTTTCTAGAATTAATTATGGATGCTCTACACCTCTACTGCGATTCCTAATCGCAGTGCTGGTGTATTATTGCCGGCAACGTTAAACTTTCGACACCAGTAACAACCAATCAGCAAACAACCTTGAACGGACCAATCACATGAAAGAGGCGTTTATGATCAGCGGAAAAATGCATAAAAAAATGATAAAACGGTTACAATGGGTATCTTTCCCGAACATGGGGGAGAAACATTTCCCAATTCAGCATGGGACTCAATAGAGAAGTTGCACCACATTCTATACATATATTCATCTAAATGACTATAAATGAGATCCTTTTGAGATCCATTTATAGCCCGTATCCTATTTTTCAATCGACCCCAAAATCCTTCAATGGAATTTGTATGAGTACCTGTAACTGGATCCACGAAATCACTGGAGTGGTTCACTCCGTGATGAATGTATCCCAGGGATGACAATGAATCAAAGCCTTTCCACTCGTCGGTATGTACAATTGATCCCGGTTTCACAAGTCGCTTTATAATAGGTACCAGAGTAGTCGCCTTCCTGTCTGCTATTATTTTAGCAAATCCTTTTTGCAGGGACGTGTCGTATAAACCTATGACCCAAGTGTTGTTCGCTCTCTGATGACAGCGGTTATATTTCTTCTTCACCAACACTGTCTCATCCACATGCACTACTGCGTCGTCCCCGCCTAACAACGAAGTAATTCTCGCCATTTTCCATGAGACGATGTCCCTGCAGTGATGGTGTACCAGTGTATACCACTGAACTGTTGAGACGAGGCTGTTCTCCGTCTCGGCAGCAGCGGCTTTCACCGGGTGTTTCAGTACCCAGTAATTGCAAATGTACAAAATCTGGGTTAGGGAGAGATGCGACCTAGCAAAAAAATTTCCTACGAAATATTACCTTCTCTAATACTAACTCGCTTCCAGCATATTCCACAACGGTGGGCGAAGTTCAACAATAGAGTCCCAGGATTGTAAATGTTCCAATGACCTTGTGAATGTTCCAATGACCCTGAACGCATGCTAGTCATCGGTTGAGGAAGCTCACCATTATTCTAGCGCGAATAATTGTGCGTACTGGTAAGTGACACTGAAATAATTGTCTTCTAGGAACTTTCTTTGAAAAGTTGAAACTGTCTGTGATGAATATCTTGTTTCTGTCCAATTACTGGGTGCCAGAGCGAATAACGTTTGGGTTTTAGGAATTTATGACACCTAGATTCGCAAGGGATTTATGGAGCTGATTCTAGATAGGAGTGCTGATACACTCCTCCCTATTATTCAGCGTCTCGTCTTACCAGGCACTACCATTCACACAGATGAATGGGCTGGATATAGCCAATTATCGCAATTGGGATATATATCCCAATGTATATATACATCATAGAGTGGACCATTCGAATGATTTCGTCGACCCTGTCACCGGTACTCATAATGATTCCACCGAAGGTTTCTGGGGAAGACTGAAAAATAGAATCCGAGCTATCAACGGATCACAAAACGAAGTCATTTTCAGTCATTTGGATGAATACATGTGTAGAAATTGGTTTAATTTCGAAACTGAAACTCGTATTAATAATTGGAACATTTTTTAACTCATATTAGAGAAAAGTACCCTGTTTGATTTTTTTTCATGCTTATTTATGTAAAAATACGTAAACTTTTATGCAAAAATCATCCCTTTTTCTGATTGGTTGGTTCAAGGTCACTTGTGCGTTCGTTCCTTGGGACTCTATTGTAGAACTTTGCCCAACGATGTACAAAACCATCAGTTGACCTAATATAGCTTTTTAGAGTCATTACACCACCACACGAACAACTTCTCTCCCTTCGACGCAAGCCTAAGTCGAAGCAATACTGAAAGACACTATCCTCCTCGAATTGCAAACGTAACCTTGTAAGGGCACGCATTGAAATGAATCAAGCGCTATACAACATTGAACTACGTTCATGAATCTCATTGGATAATTCGACGTCGTTCGCTGATTGGTAGTTATTGGTGTCTAAAGTTTAACTTGGCCCAATTGGTCGAAGAAGCAGCAAAGACAGGACTCCAGGTGAACATAGACAAGACGGAGGTTATGAAAATAACCAAAACCGATCAACAACAACAACAGCAGCAACATCCAATGCCAATCACCATCAATGGGACGGATTTGAAAGAGGTTACTTCATTCACTTATCTAGGGAGCATTGTCTCAACTACAGGAGGAACGGATGAGAATGTCAAATCGAGAATCGGGAAGGCGAGAAACACATTCATCAGCCTGAAACCAATCTGGAAATCTTCGTCACTCAGCCTGCATCAACAACAAAATTCGGATTTTCAATACAAACGTCAAGTCAGTCAGTTCTTCTATACGGATCAGAAACTTGGCGGGTCACAAAGAATATTTCCAACAGCCTGTTGCAGACCTTTATCAACAGCTGTCTTCACTCTATACTGAAGATCAGATGGCCGGAAAGAATCACCAACAAGAAACTATGTGAACAAACAAAACAAGAACCAATCGCTCAACAAATATGCAGGAGAAAGTGGAGATGGATTGGACACTCAATGAGGTGGCCGCTGGGTGACATCGCGCGCCAGGCCAGTACTCGAGTGGAACCAGAAAGGGAAGCGACGAGTGGGATCTCTCAGGGTGACATGGAGGAGATCGTGTGAAGAGGAGTTGAAACAGTATGGACTAACATGGATGCAGGTGAAAAGTACAGCAGAAGACAGAAGCAAGTGGAGACGTGTAGTTGAAGCCCTATGTTCCACTAGGAACCCAAGGGAACAATGATAATAATAATTAGGGTTAGAAGACCTAAATAATTACATGCATAAAATGCGGCTAAATTTCTCTGTTGATATAAGAATAGAACTTGTGCCTTGTGGTACAGTATAATTCTGTTGTGAGTAAAATTTATTTTGATAAAGTCTCAGGGTGTTATACAGTAATATTTACTGATGACGTTTCGCGTCCATTTACTGCTCAGTAATTATTACTGCATAGCATTATGAGGCTTTATCAAAATAAATTTTACCCACAATGGAATTATACTCTGTTGATACTTCAACCTAAACCAGAGCTATCTTTATCACAAGTGAGAGGAAGGTATCCTCAGTAACACTTTTATACAGTTTTTGTGCAATTTTTTTTATAAATATATGTATTGCATACATACAAATGCCTCCTTCTCGTGATTGGTGCGTTCGAGGTCATTCTCTGATTGGCAGTTAGTGGTGCTTAAAGTTTAACTTCACTCGCATGACACACTAAAATGTATTAAGAGCAAAACAGCTAAAATCTATTAACCCTGGCATTTTCCAGAACTCTATTTAGTATTCAACTGAAATTTTTTCCCTGAATGTTTTCGTTCTCTTGCAGTACTGGTCAGCGATTAAAATAAAAATACCTGTGTCTCAAATAATAGAATGGTCGCCAGCCATACCCTAGGGCCATGTCTGATTCCCATCTGATGCACTCCTAAGTCTCGCCTAGTTTACTAGCCGGTGCTAAGTTTGCAAACAAGGAAGGTTAGGTGTGAGTTTAATGGATGTTTCGCTGCTGAAACCTCAAAGTTTGAAGCCCTATGTTCCACTGAAAACGTAAAGATTGAGAAAAGACTTGTATTCCAGCAAGTTATAGGTTAAGGAATTACTTCAAGGAAACAAATAATCACACTTAGAAGCACTGATACATAAAAGAGTCAAAAAAACGAAAAAAAAATACTCAGTCAGAAAATAAAAGCTATTAGTTTGTTGAAAAGTTAGATTGTTCTGTTCTCTAATGGTGGAAATATGAAATAGGAAGGAGGAACGAAGGTAATAATGTGTACTCTGTTATTCACGAAACAAATAAAATGCATTAACAAACACCTTGTTTTGTGAGTTACGAAATGCACTAGTTGTTCAACTAACTTTTCTTTGAGTTACCAGTCTACTCATCTTGTTCAGAAGGCAAAGTTCCATTTGTCAAGTCCGATCCTAATGAACTCAATGATTCACGTTTATCGAAGGGTGATGTTGAACTGCTAGTGGATGGTCTCTGTTGTTTTCTTTCAATTTTCAATATACTGCCTTGTTTTTGTCTAAATGACTGACTTGATTTACCAGCTTTTTCTGAATCCACAGTCACTTGTATTTGATTATCAATAGCTGATATGTCACTTTGCTTTCTATATCTCGAAGTGTTACCATCCTGTGCAATATATGACGGATTAAGATTATCATATTCTTGTTCTAATCTCATTAAACGACGTTTCAACTTAGCTTGACTTGATCCGAATTCACCAATCAATCTTGCTAAACGAGTAGTAAGTTGATTGACTGTACTGTCAATTCGTTGAACACATTGTTCAATTGATTCTTGTTGTTCTTGTGCTTTACGTAGTACTTCTTCGTCTAATAAATTATCTTTACGTAATATATCTTGACCACGTTGCATTAATATTGTTTTAGTCTCTGGATATTCAGTTAATGCATCCCACAAATCATCTTTACTTAGACAGAATAAATCTGAGTAACCAACAGATCGTACATTTGCTGATCTCCGATTGCCTGTTTTATTTCCTGTAATAAACCATGTTTAAACATAATGTATGTTTAATAAGAAGGAAGTAAATTTCATTCATAATTGTTAAAATATCCATTACAATTTTTATTCAAAATTAAAGCAAGTTGCAGCTGAGTTTCATTCGGATTCCTAAATTAACAGTTCCATGTGTTTTAAACACTAAACTAAAGTATCTGTGTAAAAAAAACTAGTTTTTTAATCATTTTAAACTGACTACCTGTAGATTTTGTTTTTCTGGAGACTCAGTTTATTCCTTACACAAAACTAACCTACACTAAAATGCATCTTAATGATAACAGCGATGAATCTAATTGCCATGATATGCTTGAGAAGTAATCTCCGAAAAGTTATATAATTGCTGACTGCTGTCTTATGGAAAAACAGTTTCATAATTACGATGACGAGGATTTCATTTTTTGGAGATTGTTAAATGAGTATTGATAACTTTATCATCACTCTGAGCGAAGAGTATTTAATAGGGTTCCAGTCCCAAAAGGAATACCATCATGCACTGGGAATGCAGGTATATTCAGATAACGAGTCTCAGATAGAACGAAAGGCGTGTCCAGGATTCCACTGCCAGCGTTAATCAATCAAATAACCTTCGGGCATCGTTGAAGCATTCGTACCAAGAGCAAACCAGATACATGATACTGTCATATCTATGTTTGTATATTAGGAAATGTTAATTATCATTCAAAGGTACAGTCTTCGAAAACTGTTCTCTCTTGATAACTTGAAAATGTGTCTGGAATATTTAGTGACATGAATTCATTCGAAGTGGGAAAACGTGAGTTGATAAATCATGTCTTAATATATCCGAAGGGCAAACATATTTTATAGGTATTTAAATACGAGTGTATATATATGGAACATAATGTCAATGTATTTAATCTTTAACTTGACTTCGTTAACTTCCACATTTTACTTAGATTTTGGCTCTCTGTTCGAATATAATTCTACATAGTAGACCTCAAGGATGCCATTATATTTGTCATATTTCAGAAATAGTTTTCTTATCTCTAATTGGATCTCTTTCGCTAATCGTAGTTAGAGCTTATAATCCGTGGTAGCTATGGTGTTTGATGAGCCTCGTCCTTTCATTTTAGCTGTCGGAGTTGAAAAGAACTTGGCACTGCTATTGATTTGTTCCTTTGGGACATTCAGAACCATTGGTAAAAGTGTCATCAGACTCATAATAAACGGTATGCTGCTAGGCTATTCAAATACATTAGGATAAATGTATCCAGGTACTCGTTCACTCATAATCTTTTGAATAATTTAACAACAACATGCCGTTTACTTTCAGTTTATCAGAATGTTAACCGAAGCAACCAAACTCTTATAAATGTTTCCATGGAGAAAAATAATAGAAGTAATTCTACACTCAGTAGAAGTTTGACAAAACAGTGTAAGTTAAAAGTAAGAGATGGAGATAAAAGTTCATGTTGTGAGAAGCTATGTAGAATAATAGGTCCCAAAGTACCATTTAGGCAACATAATTTCATTTCTCACAGATCATTTAATAATTGTGATATGTCTGCGTCGGTGGTTCAGCGGTAGAGAGCTGGACGACCATGTTCGTAGTCCGGGATTCGAGTCCCGGCAGGCGTACACCTTTACCTCTCTTACCCGGTTACAATCCCGACAAAGAGGGAAGGTTGGGTGTGAGACTAGTAACCCAACCTCATAAAAACACCACTACTACTGAGAATTCAGTGTTAAAGCTTGAAGCCCTATTTTCCACTGAGAAAGTAAAGGAATAAAAAAGAATCTTTAACTTCCATGGGATTGTTAACGAAATTATCATTTACATATTTTATTATCACACATATAGATAAAATTCATCACCAAGATAGTTAAACAACTTACCAGCAATATTCAATATGGATATTTCACCAAAAACAGAACCTTCACCTAATGTAACAAATACTGTTTTTCCGTCTTCAGATACAACACTAAGTTTCCCACGTTTAACTATGTACATTTCTTTTCCAATATCACCTTTGCGACAAATGTAATCACCTGGAGAAAATACTTGTAGCTGAAGTTTAAGTACAAGTTCTACAAGAAGTCCAGGATCACAGTCCTAAAATATATTTAAAAACAAAAGATGTGTAGATGTTTTTAGGTCACTGGTTACAAACAAGATGGCTGGTTATGTTCTAGTAAAAAATATACGCAATAAAAACTTTAATATTCTGAGGTATTTTTCTCCGCCAATACTATGGAAACAATTTCGAAGAAAACGTTCGTGTAGTGCACACATTACTAAGTCATGTTCCGAATTAAAAATAGATTTGAATTCTTCAGTTGCACAGTTCGAGGTGGGAATTCACCACTATTTTCTTTGGAAACCGAAAATACTCACATCTCCTTGATTCTAAAAAGAGTACTCAAGAAAGTAAGCATGGTGGTATACACTACTGATTTAATATGAGTAGTTGGAATCCACACTCACGTTAAGCAGTAGTGCTTACTATTTGGATGGAAGTGATTTAAACCACCAGACGTCTGTTTCTTTCGTTTGGAGCTGAGCCGGTTAGCAGTATATCCAGTAAGACTGAGCTCAAAGAACTGATTTGGTTCAGCTGTGAATGTACGAAAAGGTTGTCGGGTATTTAGATTACTTTGATCTCACTGATAGGCACTACGTTTTGGCGTGATAGTACACACCATTAACCTGATTAAAAAATAACCGATATTTGTCCATATACCTTGTTAACCAGGTTGAAATGATGATGCGTTTAACTGAATGGGAAATTACTTAATTCTCGGATCTGTTAGCATACATGACAGCCTCTCAAACCAACCCTTAAAAATTAATGTAACAACCTACTAAAGAACAAATTTTTCTGGAGTTCTAGTGAGAAATGGAGTCCACTAGATTAGGTATCAGAACAAATAATTATCGTTGACGTTGGCTGGCTGTGGCAGTATAAATAGCCAACAGGCAAAAGTTAGAATTCATAAACCATTGGATTTCTTCTCAACAGCTGAATGGTATACCAGCTGGCCTCGTAAGCTGGGTTCGATCCCCAATGGTATCATGAGTTTGCACTGATGAAGAGTGCCAAGTGATACCTGGTTTTTACCGGTTCTCTCACTGAAATCGATTCGTCACTATCAAAGTTGAAACCATTCAAATCTCCGCAAAATAACACTAGAAAAAACAAGAGATATACTTTTATATATAAATATACAATTTTATTTATTTATTATACATGTTGATGCCTGTTGCATGACTCACGATTGGACAAAGTTTAAAAACAAGAGTTTGTTCCTTTTATATATAAACCTCTGTTATGTTAATCTCGATTAATTCCCCTGAAGAAGTTCGGACCAGATTGCCGAACGAAACGTTGGAATTACTCATTTCAATATCGCTGAGATATTACAAATATAATTTTTTACAAATGTCTACTTCTCACTCGGCGCTCAATTATTTTGCAACTATCTGGTCAAATCTTGATTACAGTTCATATGAATTGGTTGAATTCATTCCACTTCAATTTATCTTCACTTTCATTAACATGGTCATCATTGCAATTGAAATTTTTAACACCACTTGACCTACTTGAAAACTCTTTATACGTCTTCACTTATTTATTAATCCTTTAAAATTTAGTAATTCATTCAATTCAAGTCTACCCTCCTATTAATATTGTGTCACTCACTCAATGCCGAAGCAAATCAGCTTACCTGATTTGAGCTTACATTCTACTACAGTGTCTACAGTGACTATGGTAGATTATGAGAGTGAAATTTACAAATTCTTATAGTAAATTCAACAGAAATATAGAAATACACGATCAAGGGGGTAATTTCAAGAGATGATAATAGTTATAACAGCTTTATTCTATCGGCAGTACGCACCCGCTGGGATTCGAACCCGGGACCTTCCGGTTACAAGGCAAGCTCGTATACCATTCAGCCACTGGGACCCGATTCAATGGCTCATGAATTCTAACTTCTACCAATTCGTGATTTAGCGCCACCACAACCATTGTAGTTGGTGGGACATCCATCCACACACGTGACATCTAATTGGATCTCACTGGTCACGACTTCTCACTAGAACTCCAGGAAACTCCATCCTGTAGCAAGTCACTAGCGAGCATCAGATTAATTTCCTATAGTTTGGTTTGTAAGGGTTTGTTATGTTTTTTACGAGTGGATCACGAATTGGTAGAAGTTAGAATTCATGAGCCATTGAATCGGGTCCCAGTGGCTGAATGGTATACAAGCTTGCCTTGTAACCGGAAGGTCCTGGGTTAGAATCCCAGCGGGTGCGTACTGCCGATGATTCCCGAACTAGGATGAAACAGCGGCTTTATTTTAGCCGAAATGTTTACATTATATACAGAATTCTCGGAGTTGTATACTGCATAATATTTTTTCTTTATTTAGAATGTTCAAGTGAAATAGCATCCTATAGTATATCAAATTAATTAATGATACTTTTTCTTCGTCTACGAGATATACACACGGGTAGTTTAAAGGCCAATTAAAAATGTGCATTAGTATAATCTGCGACTCAAGAACATAAATGAATGGAATTAGAGAAAATATGATGCAGTTTGTTTGGATGAAGATTCAGAAAGCTCAGTAATTTAAGCAAGCTGCTATGGTATCACTGCATCATGAAGTATGGAGGGTGGGGGATCATATACAGTCTGTAAAATATCGCTGTCGTCTATTCTACGTAACTTCCGTAAAAATGTCAAGATCCACAACATAGACATTTTAAACAATGTTGGCTTCACTGTAATTTACCCACTGAAAAGCTAATGTTTACTACTTGAAGACAGATATTTGAGAAATTTAGAAAACAAAATTATTGTTTGACTGAATCACAGTCCTACATTCTTTGTAAATAAAGTGAAATGAACTTAGACTGGTTTTTGCCACTATTGTTGCATGTGTTACTGACATAATTTCTGAGTAGTATTTTATTTTATACTAAGTCGCATCATCCTGGAGAGAATAAATGGTGCACTGGTTACAAAGCTCCGCCCATAGGAACAAGCTGGATTCAGGAAACGCAAATTATGTCCAGATCAAATTGCAACTCTACGCATCGTCATCACAGAACAAAGCATAGAATGGCAGTCAAACCTCTACACCAACTTCATCGACGTCAGAAAGGCTTTCGACAAACAACGTTGACCGAGACGTAATTTGGAAACTACTTCAACACTACGTCGTGCAGTGCTCAAGTCTTTATCGACCTCATTTAACATCTGGCTATATGACAATGCCTGACACTTGTCAGGCGATCCACAATGGAAAACTCAGAGAGGCGTTCGAAATGAATTCTGGAGTAAGACAAGCTGGCTGCCTATTATCACCGATGATATTCTTAATTTTGGTGGACTGGATTATGCGTCAGACTGTGGGGAGCGAGGAGACAGGAGTACGCTGGACCACCGATTAGAAGTCCGTAGAAGATCTGGATTTCGCAGATGACATATGTCTAATGTCATACAAACTCGAGAATTTACAGGCGGAAAGCAAGAAACTGGCAGAAGAAGCCGGCTGCGAAGAGAGGATTTCGGGTAAACACAGAGAAGACAGAGATGATGAATATAAGCAACCAACCGACAGCAACAACAATAACAAACAGCATCAATCACCATCAATGGAAGTAATTTAACAGAGGTTACCTCCTTCAATCAACTAGGTAGCATCGTTTCAATTACGAGCGAAATGGACGAAGATGTCGAAGCCAGAATCGGAAAGGCAAGATACGCCTTCATCAACCTGATGGTGTTTTGGAAATCTTCTCCACTCAGCATAAGGAGCACGATTGGGATTTTCAACACCAATGTCAAGTCAGTCATTCTATGCAGGTCAGAAACTTGCACCACGTGTCACGAAAAGGAATTCCAACAGGTTGCAGACTTTCATCAACAGCTCTCACCTTCGCTGGCTCTATACTGCAGATCAAATGGCCGGAAAGAATTAGTACCAAGAAACTGTGGGAGCAAAATGGAGATGGATGGAGCATACGCCACTGAGAAGGCCATCGAATGACATCGCGCACCAGACCCTTGAGTGGAATCCCAACAAGAAGAGACGAGTGGGTCGTCGGCGCGAGGGTGACATGCAGGAGATCGTGTGAGGAAGGGATGAGAGATTTTGGGCAATCGTCGACCCAGCTGAAGATGAGACGTGTTGTTGAAGCCTTATGTTCCACTCGGAACCCAAGGGAATAATAATAATATTATATGTGATGTCTTAAGTAAGAATATCGCATAGTAGAGCAACGGACTAAGTTGCTAGTTGGAGAAATGGAAAATCTGTGTGAAACAAAATATAAAAAGCATGGAAAGAAAAGACCAAGAAAAGGAGACTAAATCAAGAACATGTGCAAATGGAGTTTTCAATGAAAAGTTTCTGTATTTTGTCATTGCTGAACATTATTCGGCTCAGCAGTAAACAGTCCTGCTACTGAATGCTATCGTGTTCTACCGTTACACTATGAGTGCAGAAAACTAAATGTTCACAGCTAATATGCATGAAAGAGTTTTTGGACATTCGTTTATTCGTATCACATAAATTTTCACCATTGCACAAATGTTAATTCATTACTAATACTGTGAGTGACAAGTTATCTATTCAGTCTGAATGAAGTATGATAAGTTTTAAAGACTACTCATCTATCTTTACAATAATTTATAAAAGTTCACATTCATTTATAACTGAAACAACTTTTGAATTAATCGAATCTTCAAGGTCATCAAGTTCAAAATGAGAAGATACATTGATTGAAACAAACTCCTACGTTTTTTTCTTTTCCTAATTTCAAAAGCTTTTATCATGAATGATGAATAGAATTTTTGACAATGAATCTTTATTAAATGTTTAAAATGATTTGAAAAAAAATAGGTGTATATTTTTAAAAGTGTTTTTTCTCTTAGATTTTTTAAAATAATGAACATTTCCTTTTGAGATTAAAAGTTCATTAGTGTATACTTATTGTAATCCAACAAGAGCATTTAATCAATCATGAGTATTTGCAATTAATTAGAATGGAAAATAATGAAAATAAACTAGTCTTATATCTTTTCGCATAAAAGTGCTTGTTTATTGGTGAAATTTATTTAATTCTCAATAATTAAGGACAGTCAGAATGACGGTATTTACAATATCTTGTGATAAGAAATGCTGACTACAACAGCTTGTTCTAAAAACATCCAAAGTATGATAAAGTTTAGTTTATAGATTCAGCTTCTAAAATCACGGTAGAAATAATTTGACCAAGCTGTCCTTAAGGTACTACCAAATAAACAATATAAGATTGAATTATTGAAGCAATATGTATGCTTAGAAGGTCCACTTTATCGTTGATGTAGTTGTAGAACATGGGCGCTGTTGTAGAATGTAATTCCAAATTAGATAACTTTATTTGATATAACACATAGTCATACAGTATTAATATTATTATTATTTCCTTTAATACCTAGAGGAACATAGGGCTTCACCCGTGCGTCTCCATTGCGTTCGGTTCTCTGCTACAGTCTTCACCTGGCTCCAAGTCTGCCCACACGTTTTCATCTCCTCTTCACATGACTTCCTCCAAGTCACCCTTGCATTGACGACCAACTCGCCGCTTCCCTTTCGGGTTCCACTCGAGCAATGGCTTGTCTAGTGATGTCACTTGATGGTTTCCTCAGAGTATGGTCAGTCCATCTCCATTTCTTCCTGCCTATTTGTTTCAAAATCGGTTCCTGGTTGGTTCGCTCCCAGAGATCTCTATTGCTGATCTTTTCTGGCCGGTCATCTGATCTTGAGTATTGAGCGAAGACAACTGTCAATGAAGGTTTGCAGTTTGTTTGAGATGTTCTTTATGACGCGCAGTGCAAGTCTCTGATCCGCTTAGTGAGTAGCACTGACTTCACATTGGAGTTGAAAATCTGGATCTTATTCTCATTTTGATGCTGAGTGCTGTTGACCTCCACACAGACTTGAGAGTAGTGAAAGCTTGTCTTGCTTTTCCGATTCTTGCTTTGATATCCTCGTCAGTTCCGTCTGCCTGTAGTTGAAACGATGCTTCCCAGGTAGGTAGGTGAAAGAGGTTGTTTCTTTCAGGTTCCTTCCATTTATACTGATCGTTGTCTGTTTTTGGATGTATGGGGTCTTTCAGCCGACAAAGTTTATCTCTGAGATAGCTGGTTGGTTTAAAAATGCCACCCTAAATCCAGCCTCATTAAGAATCCTATGTGGGGCCTCTAATGTCCCTTCATTACGCCACAGTACTTCAAAGGTTTTGAATTCTATATTATTTACGTCATTTTCATTTCTACTATTATTTTTTCTGTAGGTCTTCATCCATTTTTGAATAATCTGTAATGGATAGTATTTCCTTATTTGTTGCAAAACTCTACTATTGTTTTCTAATCATGTTGAAAGGAACCTCACGTCAGTAGTAAAATGACCGTTGTATTTTATGAGTATTACATACTAATTAATTCATCAATTATAAACTCAAATTTTGATACATTATAGGCACTGAGATAAACAGCAAAAAGGGTAGTAAAATAACAGTTGAGGAATGACAGGTATAAAATTGGTGAGAATACTTACCTAGATTACTCATAACGGTTGTACATCACTTCAGCAGTTTTCCCAGTGGATTCAATTCTGAACCATATATAGATTGCATAATCTGCCTAGCTAAACTTTAGTAGTATTCACTTAACGAGTTTGTGTGAAATTAATCTCTTTCAAGATGGCTTACTACATATAGTGACTTGAATTACATAAGTATTAGACACAAGAGATCACTTCACAACCGTTTTTTTGTAGTTTAGGAATTGCAGTTTGTAATCACTATTGATTTGTGCCTACTTCTAATTGAGTAAAGTATGTTAAAATTATAATTATAATTATTCCCTCAAGTTCAGAGTGGAACATGGAGAGGGGGAGCTCATCAGCACATAACCATTTTGTCTTGTTCCCTGCAGTCCTCTTCAACTGTTTCCACGATTGCCCATAAGCTTTCATCTCCTCCCCACACGACCCCCTCCATGTCATTCTCGAATCAAAGCCCAACTTGTCGTTCCCTCATCGCGGTCCACTCGAGTGATGGCCTGGAGTGCGATGTCACCTGGCTTTCTCCTCAGCATTTGTCCATTCCATCTGCATTTTCTTCGTCATAATTGTTGAGTAATACGTTTTTGACTGGTTCGTTCCCTTTATTACTACATTATTTTTCTCTTACAAGTAGTTGATAAGATCCTGATGGAATGAACAGATCCATTTTTATCCTACTCCACGTGTTATTATGACTTTTGTTCAGGTTTTATAATCCCTTTCACAGTTAGACATAGAAAAACAGATAAACTTATAAACTCACTTTAAATATACTGACACGTTGCAGTGTATCGAAATGAACATGTATAGCGATCTCAGCTTTCAGTTTATCTGGTAGAGCATTTAAACTGTCTTCTTCTAATGACTGTTTATTTGTCCATAAATAATCAAACCATCGGATTACTCTCAGTTCAAGTTCTTTGTTGACTTTACGAAATTCCATATATCTATTTATGAATATTAGTAAAGAAGAAGAGAAATCAGTTAAAATATATATTATTGTATTTTATTTAGTGACAATAATATTGACTTTATTAGTGTTAAATGCTATTCATCTATTGGTTAAGTAAAATATATGGTAAAATGGAAAGTAGGCCCATAATTTCTGCTTTACCATACCCAGGATTTAAGTAGATTAAACAAAACGTAGATAATAAATTAATTCAGGCTAAGTGAGTGTTAAAACTTCAATTTACACTAACTACGTCCCTGTCTATTAAATCTACAGCTCCAACGTTATTCCAGTCACTTTTTCTATATGAGTAAGGAACTTGCACTGGGCGTCACAAAGGCCTTTCTAACAGACTGAAGACTTTTATCAACACTTACCTTCGCTGGCTCCATATTGTAGATCAGATGGCAAGAAAGAATTACCAAGAAGAAACTCTAAGAACGAACGGATCAAGAACCTGTTGCTCAACAGATATCCCGAAGAAAATGGAGATGGATTGGACATACGCTTAGAAGACTGTTGGGTGATATCACACGCCACGCTGGACCTCAAGTGGAACAGGAATGGGAAGCGACGAGTTGGGCCTTTGTTCGGGGGTGACAGTAAGCAGATTATGTTAGTAGGAGGTGAAAGCTTATGGCAGTCATGAGCTCAGACAAAGAGGACTGCAGAGTACGGGACAAAATGACTGTGTACTGTTGAAGCCCCCTATGTTCCTCTCGGAACTCAAGGGAATAATAATAACAATTAATACGTCTCCGTCTTTTAGCAAAACCAATACGATACAAATACACTGATAATATCCTTCATATCTTTACCGCTGCACACATTATTATTCCAAATGATATGATTCTTTTGCACGACAATCCTAAACTTATTGATTTACATACTGGAAGTAATTTATAGTGTCAAATAAATCTGAGGTTCAATTTGTCAAACTCATGAGTTCAGTTTCTGTGTCATGATAAGTTAAAGATAATGTGATTTACCAGTGCTGTATCTTGAAAATAGTCTGTGCCTATGTAAAATTGTCAAATTATTTGTGTGAAAATTTAGAAGCAACCTTTCGTATCTTTACATAGGAAGCAATCAGAAATAAAGGTGGTGACAGTAACACAGGAATAATATAAACAAACCTGCAGGCAGTGACTTGCTTAGAGATACACCAGGTTATATTATAATATGTATGCAAATGAAACAGCCTTATTTTGAAATAAAGGTTTAGTTCAAAAATTAGAAATTCGTAATTTGTAGCATTCATTATCATAGTACAGTGTGAAGTCATTTCCAACAACCAGCTGGGAATTTTCATCAGCAGTTGCCTTCAATAGGTCAATCCTGATTGTCAGATGGTAGGCCAAAGAGGATAAGCAACAAGGAACTCTGCAGTGCCACGAACTAACCAAGAATCTGTCTCTCAAAAACTGTGCAAAAGGAAATGGAGATGGTGAAATAAGTCAAGGAAGCATCACACATCATGCGAGCCCTCAAGTGGAACTTGAATAGGAAGTGAGAAACCAGTTTTGAATCTGAGAGTGTTATGAAGAAGACCATGTGAAGAAGAAATGAGAGCTTTTGGGAAATCAAGGAGCCGGGTAAAAGAGACAGCAGAGAAGGGGATGCAATGGAGAATAGAGCCCTATGTTTTATATGGAACCCAAGAGAATGAAATAATAATTTCCATAGTTCAGAAAATAAAACAAACCTTGTCAATATGATCTCCCATGATGTTTACATATGCGTGAGGAAACCATGATATGGAGGACGGATTTCTAACTGAAGTTGGTGAAATATGTGTCTAGAAGGCTACAGGATACACGGGCTCTAATAATCCAAGGCGACGGAAATCTTCTTTTATTTAGGAACAAATATATGTTTTGAACTAGTCACAGAATTGGTTTGAAATCTGCCTTTACTATAATATATGGATGCGTTTAAAGACGAATAATACGTTTATGCGTATTCAATGATAAATTTTAATAATGCAGTGCGATATAATGGGGAAATTAAAACAATTAGTCCCTTTGATAAATTTGAATAAGGCATTTAGGAGACAAATTTCGTAAGATGAAATGTTTGTTCTCAAGGGCCCGAAAAATATGCACGAGTGACACATTGATGGATGAGTTTAGACATATACATTCAGTTTTATTAGCTAATGGTTATCCAGAAAACTTTATCACTTGTCACAGTAAAGAAAGACCACATCTCGAAAAGACAGCTTCTGTACCAAAGAAAGCTATCTTTATTAACCTACCTACCATTCAAGGGTGACCAGATTATGCAGTTGACAGCTCAAAGACTTCGGTCAGCCATCAAACGCACATTCTACGCCGCATCTCTTTTTCTCACATGCCGAACATTTTCGATCCCTGTACCTACGATTAAAGGACGAAATTCTGTGGACTCTACTTCAAACTGTATCTACAAGTTCACCTGCAGCTGCGGTGACATCTATATAGGTAGAACCAATAGAATGTTCCAATGTCGTCGAAAAGAACATGTTCCAAAATGGTTACTAAATCATTTAAAAAATCCCAATGAGATTAATCTGAATAGAAATCCAGCATCATCCATTGCAAAACACTTATTAATGTCAGGTCACAAAATCAATATTAATGACTGTTTCACAATTATTTCACATAACTCTAATTCAAGGTTATTGAAGGTGATGGATTAATCACATACAGCCTAAACTGTGTGTACAATAAACAATAGACTTCAATCTTCGCCTACCATGGACTACTTGACCTATTTAAATATGATTGGTCATTAGTATGTACTTTTGTTTTTTATATAACTGAGTAACTGTCATGATCTTTATTTTATTATTATTAACCATGTTAGTTGTAAAGCGGTTGTAAAGAAACTACGAAATGATATCATCTCGCGAAATTTATCTTCTAAGTGCCTTATTCAAATAATGGGGAATGTTGTAAATTAGGCAACCCAAAATCTAGAATGTTGAAAAATAATGGACATGGATAAACATAATGTCGTAAGCCAGTATTAGTTGTTTTCCGTCCTCGATTTCCTCCGCTCTACACTTCCTGAACTTTCTACTTTGCATTGCATACGAAGCGGTGGAGACTTGAGTAAGCATCTGTGATGTATATATATATATAACATCCAGATTTCTAATTTCCTAATTTACAACATTTTTAGTGTTACACTTCCAGCACTCCTTGACAACCGTTATAATTTCATGCAGTATAAAGCTCAAAACACGTGGAACAAAATTATCTCGGAAATTTGGATTACTCTTTTCATAGCTTTTATAAAAACTGAAAGTATTGTAGTTACTCATTAAGATTTTATGATTTCCACTTTGTCCTTGGGGAGTTCATTACATTATCCTTGAGTGACCATGAAATTCAACTAGATTTCCGCTTCTGTGTAACGTAAATGATGTTCATGTTAAAGACAGTCACTTGAACTCCACTTCGGTAGAAAATTGTTAAACTATAACTGCATCGTTGGCGGTCCAGCAGTGGAATGCTAACCAACCACACATGTGAACCTGGGTTCGATTCCTAGCTGACACCGATAGCAAGACCGTAAAAGCGGGGAGGTTATACTTGAGGCTAGTAACCTCACTTGGTGTAAAACAATATCACGCCTACTGAAACTCCAAGGCCTTAAATATGAAGATTTATGTTCCACTCAGAACGCAAGAAATGAAAAAAAGGTATCCACAAAATACTCACCTTTTAACACCATCCATTCTGTTTTGAAATTCTGTTCTTGCTGCATTCATATTTGTTATCATTGCACCGACATTACCGACAACAGTTGCAAAAATCAATACTCCAACAAGAAAATCAATTGTAATGAAAATGTATTCAGCATTTCTGACTGGTTTCGGTGTCTCACCAATTGTCGTCAATATTAAAGTGGACCAGTAAAAGCTATAGACATACTGGGAAAATAAACGATCCCAACGTTCTGAATAATTTCTGAATTCATCTGATGTATCTTCACTTGAACGTGGTGGGTAAACAAAGGAATCAGAGCCTAATCCTGTTTCATAATGTTTAGTGGGCAGAACAATAAAATACATTGATGAATTATTCAGTAAATCACTTCATAAGATAAACCATAGATCACATATAAGCATTCGGTCTGTCTGCGCCTTTAAACTTGTCATTTTATGTTGTTTTTTTATTCCTTCACGTTCCCAGTGGAACACAGGGCTTCAAGCTAGAGGCTTGAAGTTTCTGTAGCAGTGGTGCTTATTTTTACGGAATGAGGTTGCTAGCCTCATGCCCGACCTTTCCTCTCTACCAGCTTTATTTCTGGCTTAGCAAGGTAAAGGAGTGCGTCGGTGGCCGGCGATCGAACCCCGGATCATGTGCATGGTCGGCAAGCATCCTAACCGCTGTGCCACCGACGCGTCATTTGATGTACTAGAAGTTTAAATGATGACGTCTTTATACATCACAAATTTGTGTGAATGTCGTTGACGTTTCTTTTTGAGAGAAACAGAAGCAGATTTTATAATTCTGTTTGGTTTAACACACAACGAGACACACTGCCACTGACTGACCAAAGTTGGGTGTTCAATTCTCTGCTGGTTATCATATCTAATTAATCACATACCTTTCTGTTAGTGTATGTGCCTTGACTTTATCGGTATCATAGTCCTTCACTGGAACTTCAGAAATCAGTGTTAGACGCATACATCAAAAGTGACGCGTCATCAATCATGGATATGTAAATAGCACGTGGAACAATAAAAACACATACAGTGAGTGAAAAAAATGACTAGCTGCCATGACTGAAGAATAAGCAAAACGCTTTGTTCGAAGTGTCAACTATTCCATAAAGCAGTATTAGTATGTACCATATCAAATAAATTTAACATTTTCAAGTTAGCTTATAGGGATTTGATTTATTGATTGATATCAGTTAGAGAACCATTGAAAACCAATTGGGAGTACTGGACAGCTGTCTCGTTTTAATTTGGGACCCATCGGCATTTAGAACCCAACTGGAGTTCGAAACCAGGACCTTCCGGTTACAAGGCAAGCTCGTAGATCACTCAGCCACTGGTACCTGACTCAATGACCCATGGATTCTAATTTCTACCAGTTGGCAATTTTAGTGCCACTAGCAGCCAGTATCATCGGCGAGTATTTGTCATATCTGATGCTCGCAAGTGCCTGGCTACATGACGAAGTTGCCTGCAGTTCTGGTGAGAAGTCATGACCAATAGGTTCCACCAACAGGTTAGGGGTGAAGACAAATACTCGCCGATGATACTGGCTGCTAGTGGCACTAAAATTGCTAACTGGTAGAAATTAGAATCCATGGGTCATTGAGTCAGGTACCAGTGGCTGAGTGATCTACGAGCTTGCCTTGTAACCGGAAGGTCCTGGTTTCGAACACCAGTTGGGTTCTAAATGCCGATGGGTCCTAAATTAAAACGAGACAGATGTCCAGTACTCCGAATTGGTTTTCAGTGGTTCTCTAACTGATATCGACCCATGGTCAAACTTGAAATTTATCACTGATATAAATCGAATATTGAAGGAATATTGGTCCATAAAAACATAGTGGGAGATTTTTCAGAGTCTTGGACAGAAACCAGAGAATCTGATTCCTGTTACTCTACATAATGATACACTCATTGAGTGGGTAATTAAAAATTTTATTTTTCAGCAAAACAGAGCCCACTCATCCCAGCCTTTCGCAAGACTAAAACTGTATGCAGTATCATCCTGTGGTGCGATCAGTTGCTCTGTGCTTCGGTGGACCAAGAGCACATATCAACAAAGTTGTTCCATTTTCTTTGTTATATAAAAACTCTTGTTGAAATTATTGTACGTCTAAGAAATTAAATTACTGTTAATTGTCATGCCAAGATTATCTAACCATATGAGGATACGAGAAATTCGAGTTATCTCGGGCAAAAGTTGAATCTTTCTTTCTCATATTTAGTAACAATGAAATGATTTAGATAAAATATTATTTACAAAGCTTTTCTCTGCGTATTAATAAAATCAGAAATACATAGATTCAATGTGATCTATAACCAAAAGTTCTTATCATGCAAAACCTCATCAAATATGTAGAAGCTATTCAAGGAAATCACCAATGGTAAGCAATTAAATAATGATCCTTCTTCTGCTGACGCTGGTACACTTAATAAGTCCTTCATATGTCGTCCAGTAGATGTTATGATTTCAAATGCTAAAAGTGTAAAGAATGATTGCTTTTCTGGTTTTTAATATAAATGACCTTCTCAAATGTCTCCAGTCCTCGAAACCTACCCAGTCCCTTGGTCGAGACTGTGTGTCCGCTGTTGTCATCAGAAAATGTGCGGACATTATATATTATCCCCTCACTGGTATTTAAAACGAATGATTTTCCATTAATATTGTGCCTGCTTTTTGGAAGGATATCAAAATTGTTCCTGTGCCTAAATCATCAAGCGGATCAAGTGTTAAGTTTAGACCTATTGCCATTAACGTACCATTTTTAAAAATAATGGAAAATCTGCTTTTAGTTAACCTTGAACCTTCATTGAAGGCTTTCATTGACCCTAAACAATTTGCTTATAAACACGGTAGGTATACTCTGGATACCACTGTTGTCTTATATCATAATATTGTCTCTAATTTAGACAGAGGTGTCAAATATGTCCGGTGTGCCTTCTTCGGTTACACATCTGCCTTCGACTCTGTGCCTTGGCCTCTTTTGTTAAACAAGCTTGCTGAGACACAAGCAGGCTGCTGGATTAATAAATGGTTGCATTCTTACTTTTATGAGAGAAAACAGTGCATTGTATATAGTGGGAAGTCCTCCACTGCTTTACTTACTCTAGCTGGTGTTCTTCAAGTTTCGTTCCTTCTCCATTTTGTTTTCTTTCCCCTTAGACGAATTTCCTCAGTCTGCTGAAGCTAATTTTGTTAAGTATGCCGATGATCTGACTGTTCCCATGCCCGTTATTTCTCAGTCAGACTGCTCCAAAATGAATATCTTTTTATCAGAAGTTAGTCAGCGATCCTTATCAAATGGTACTAAGCTGAATCCCTTCAAATGGCAGGTTGTTAATTTCCCTTTCAGACCTAAGTGCAACTTACACGAACTGGTTCGTTCCAATGAATCAATTATCATAGATGGCACTGAAGTTAAAACTAATTAGAATGATTAGTATTTTGGACTGTGTATCTCTTCTGACCTTTCCTGGTCTTCTCACATCATGTTAGTTTCCAGAAAGATATTTCATTTAACGTTCTACGTGAGGAAGTTAAGAAAATCTGGTATCACTCTGTCTTTTTTAACTTTTGTATTCTGTGTATTCTTTATTGCTTCCCTTTAATCTCTCCTGGGCCACTTAAATAAGACTTTGTTGCACTGCTTAGGGCACTAAAAGGTGTCAGCAGTGTGAGTAGGGTGTTACTGAACTGACTTGTTAATACTGTCGTTGACACTTGAACTCATGCAAGAAATTAGCGAATATTATCTTGTCGAACCCTGAGCATCCTCTCCATACACCGCTCTCTCCGTGCATCTCAACAGGTAAGACTAGAAGCAACTACAGAAGACTTTGTGCTTGGATGACTAAGTATAAAAACTCTACAAAAGCCTATTTGACACACATTTTTTATGGTGAGAAAAGTGTTAGGCATGACACTACTAACTTACTGCGAAACACTAAATAAGCTGACCTTTTTATTCTTTCATTCATTAACATATTTTTGTTAATATTTACTCTTAAATTTCCATTTTATATTCATATTCTTATTCAAAAATGTTATCAGTGTAAATGCCCTGTTTAATTATTTATCCCTGTACTATGAAAAGAAAAATTTTGATGCAGTAATGTATTACATCCTGAAAATTCCACAATATATCAAAAGTACTGTTTGGAAAGAAGGTATTATTATTATTAATAATAATTTTATTGTAATGTGATGACACTTGATAAAAGAATTAACTGATCCCTAACTCAAACCATCAGATCAAGTACTTAAATATACTTCCCACTGCCTGAATACTATTTATCCTAAACACAAAATGCTTCAAATCATTGATTCTCTCATGTAATATATGACTTGAATTTTTGGCTGTGAAGAAATAAGCTGTTTGAGCAAATGCATATTCTCATTATATATATATATATACATTTTAGGTACTTATTTTTGATATGGTTGTGTTTTCTGAGCTGGATGATTCAACTGCAGGTAGCTTTTACGCCCTAGTTTGAAATTCCTTAGCAGTACACACTCATGGCCTCACTGGGAATCTAACCCAGGACCTTCAGGTTACGACAGTCATTCAGTAGTAATGCAAGTATTTAAAAAACATCTGAACACAGAAAAAATAAAGCTTACCAGTTGCACGACTAAATCCGAAATAAATACAAGCATTTAAATGAATTAATACCAGAATATAAGTAGTAAGCATTGAGATACGAAATAAATTTGGCCGATTTGTACGTGTCTCTGTTCTGTCAACAAATTCAAATGATCTGTATATTTTCAGTAGACGATTAAAGCGTAACCATGCAGCATAATGACCTAACTGTGGTATGAAGTAGAATAAATCTGTTGGTAAAATTGCAATGATATCGATTATAAACTCATTTCTTTTGAAGTAAGCCTGTTTCAATTTGTCTTTATCGCGTACTAGTAAACCTTCTTCTAAATAACCTGAAAAATTTAGATAGATAAGGAAGTGAAGAGATATCTAAAGTGAAAATTGAACGTAACTAATGACACAAAGTAAGCCAATGAAAATCAGTCTACCGGTGTAAATGAATTCACATTTAAATTGGATGTCTACTGGGGATTTCATAATTTTACCACTCGAAGGCAGATCGTTTTGTGAAATGAACATTCAATATGTGGTTATCTGAACCAAGAAGAGTAAGCATTAGTTGTGTAATTTTAAAGTAACAAGAGATAGATACGAGACTTTTGGATAAATCATGGGCCATTGGATTGGGTCCCAGTGGCTTAATGGTCTACGAGCTCGTCTTGTAGCTAGAAGGTCCTGTGTTCGAACCCCAGTGTATGCGTACTGATGAAGAGTCCCAAACTAGGACGAAACAGCTATGCAGTACTCTCAGTTGGTTTTCCAATGGTTCTCTAGCTGATGTCAGCTCATGATGAAATCCTCTAATCATTCATAATGATCTGTTGAGAAAATGAGAACAATTTCAACTGACAAGCTAGTTTTTAGTAGGATAAATCATCATTTACTTTTGATTTGAGTACCAATCATGTGTAAATACCTCCAGTAGTGTTTTGTTAAATAAACATATTTGAACTTGAGTATTCAATGTGTAATGACATTTCCTCTATTAAAGTAAAGATTCATATGTGCATATGGGCAGTCTGATGAATTTAACTACTTCAGAAACTCATAGAGCTTTGCTTCTAAAAATCAAAAGGATGTCCTTCTACGCAGACGTCAAGTAAAGAAGAAGCAATAGGAATCATTAGGCGTTTATAGCTGCATTTGATTCCCATGATACAGACGCAATTCTCCATCAGATTCTAGACTTCCAGATAGATTTCATCACAAACTGAAGTCACTTATAGGGCCTTTAAAATCAAGTAGGCAATAGAAAACTGTTTTATCCTCTTCTGGGAATCATTGGTGTCATGTAGGCATGGTCTCATCAAAGAACAAATCCAATACTCTCAGGTTACTCGGTGAGCAAGCAACCATTTATCCACTCGATTAGAATCTGGTGGCCCACGAATTCTAACTTATGTCCGTAGGCAGTGTTACACCACGGCAGAGAATTCCATTGGTGAGAATCTGTCTTCACACATGAGTTGGTGGACACTACTGGTCACTAATTCACATGAGAATAATGATTATAATGGCTGATGATTACTTTTTTTCCATTTTCAGAAGGACTTATGAGATGGATAAACAATCTGGCCACTGTCGGACAGTTTTACTGGCGAAAATCTGTTGCATCTTTTCATGAACAGTGTTATGATTACCAACATTCCGTTTGACAGTTAAATGAAAACCACCTGTTTGACGTAAGTGTATCTCGATTACATTTCGGAAACAATTTATTGTTCATAATCATATTAATCATATAAAAGAAAAGGCGTTCTGCGAAGAGTTACTCTTTTCGGCGATATCATTTTCAAGCATCGCATTGTCTCAGCAACAAAATGAATATTTCCAAAGATTTGTAATTAGAATTGTAAATTTTCTATAACAAATTTCCTTAACGGGTTAGAAACTAAAATAAGATTAAATAAGCAAGTTGAGTGATGCAATCTAATTGACGGAGTTGAGTAGAGCTCAACTAAAATTAAAATTGGACAAAATTCAAGTTTACAACAGTGGTAATAAGGGTTAGAGATTTAATACGGGATAGGGGAAGGAAATATTATACAATTAAGAAACAAATAAGCGAAAAAAAGACGAAACAAAGGTTACGTATTTGGTGTTAAGATAGGTCAGGTCCACTGTGGATTTAAAGACTGAACAAACTTCTTTTGCATGCAGAGTTCAGATTTTAATATATGTGAATTGCCACTGCTTCTGCTTCTGTTTGAAGAAGTTTGATTCGTACTCTTTTGGCAAGATTTCCACGTATTCTGTCGATGACTTTGAAGTTACTTTGTGGGACTGCTTGGTGTCCCGATTCGATCAGATGTTCCAGAATAGAGCTTCAGGAGGACCTACTTTCTCCTTCTTAAAACCATGAGGATAAGTGTTCGATGATACGTTTGGATAGCAAACGCTGAGTACGGCCGATATATCTAGCTGTACACAAGCAGGTGAATTGGTAGATGCACACTGATGAAGCCAACGGTGGTAGCTTATCCTTTACGTTCATGCGAATCATTGGTTTCGTAGAGAAGGCTAGTCGGAGTTCATCCATGAAGAAGGTTTTCTTCAGTAAGCGGGACAGTCGGTTTCTCAGTATTTCTGCCGATGAGTCTCCATTGAATTGTAGATTCAGGTAGAGAAGGTTTTTTGGAAGCAGGAAGTGTGGGCGGTTAATTATAACTACACAGTTTCAAAGCTTCATTTGCTAACTATAATTATGATCAATATAATAATATTTTTTGTACGATTTTTCACACTCAATATTATTATTATTTCCTTTAGTTCCTAGAGGAACATAGGGCTTCAGCCATGCGTCTCCATTGCGTTCGGTTCTCTGCTACAGTCTTCACCTCGCTCCAAGTCTGCCCACACGCTTTCATCTCCTCTTCACATGACCTCCTCCAAGTCACCCTTGCACTGACGACCAACTCGCCACTTCCCTTCCGGGTTCCATTCGAGCGATGGCTTGTCTAGTGATGTCACTTGATGGATTGTTTCCTCATAGTATGGCCAATCCATCTCCATTTCTTCCTGCCTATTTAATTCACAATCGGTTCCTGGTTGGTTCGCTCCCAGAGATCTTTGTTGCTGATCTATTCTGGCCAGCCATCTGATCTTGTGTATTGAGCGAAGACAACTGTTAATGAATGTCTGTAGCTTGTTTGAGGTGCTCTTTGTGACACGCCAAGTCTCTGATCCGTATAGTGACTATTACTGACTTCACATTGCAGTTGAAAATCCCGATCTTATTTTTGACGCTGAATACTGTTGACCTCCACACAGACTTGAGAGTAATGAAAGCTTGCCTTGCTTTCCCGATCCTTGCTTTGATATCCCCGTCAGTTCCGCCTGTAGTTGAAACAATGCTTCCCAAGTATGTAAAGGAGGTAGTTTCTTTCAGGTTCTTTCCATTTATGCTGATTGCTGTCTGTTGTTGTTGCTGTGGCTGTTGGTGTTTGCCAGGAATCTTCATCACCTCCGTTTTCTCTATGTTCACCTGGAGTCCTATCTTCTCTGGATGCTTCTTCTGCCAACTTGTTGCTTTTCGCTTGCATATCTTCCAGTTTGTGGGAAATCAGACATATATCATCATCGGCGAAGTCCAGATCCTCCAAGTTTTTTGTGTGTGTCCATTTTATGCCTGTTTCCTCATTTCCCACTGTTTGTCGCATTATCCAGTCTACTGCCATCAAGAAAATCATTGGCGATAGTAGGCAGCCAGCTTGTCTTACTCTTGTCCTCACTTCGAAGGATTCCGTGAGTTTCCCGTTATGGATTACTTGTCATGCAGCATTGTTGTACTGCTGTTGGATGAGATGTATAATTGTCGGCGGCACCCCGTAGTAGCGAAGTAGTTGCCAATATGTTTAGTCTTAATTCCTACTCATCACAGCCTTATTTCATAACTACGGTTACTCATCTATCCATTTTGTACTTGTTACTCTCCTTCTCATTTGAAGATAAAAATTATTTCAATAAGTGACACATTGTTATCTACACAAGTGGGGTGTAAAGTAGGCTACAAGTAATTTGTAATCTTCACATATGCCTACGAAAATCGAATGTTTATAATTCCATCTTGATAAAACTGTCTGCAGAAACCTTATGTTAAACATAGAAAGGACGAACATATTTGCAAGGTAACAGGAGCTTATTTTACTTTGATGGATTCTTTTCAACTGTGTACATCCTATACGATGTCAAACTTAATACGACTCATCCTCACAGTGAATTTACAGTGGATGGTGAACATGACAATAGGTTCCACTACCTATACCTCAACACAGAAGAAATGATGGGATGATTGAAAAATCCATTTATAGAAAAGAAACGTGGACAGGTCAATGCTTAAATTATCACAGCTTTCGCCTAATCGATTACAAATGGAGCCTGGTCAAAACCGCTTCAGCAGAACCAGAGTGTTACGTGGGAAAGTAACATTTAAGGGGAACTCATAATTATTGAAAATAACCTTATGAAGAATAAATAACTCCAAAATTTCATACTAAAATATGAAAGTGAAAAAAAAACAACACCTAAACCGAAACTCGAAACAGCTGAAAAGGAAACCAGTTTTTATCTGCTTAGCGTACATATGGGAAGAAGTATCCACGAGAACTGAAAAAAGAATCAAAGATGCATTGAAGAGACTGATTCCGCTTTACCACACGGTGTGCTTGTCAACTCAATCAAAATCAGATAAGTATCCTGCTCCAACCCCATCTGCATTTGCCGATTCACTTGCACTTGTGGTGTTAAGCACATAAAAAGGACTGAGAGGAGAGAGTCTACTAACTTTTCTGACCATATTCCTAAAAGTCTCCGTATGAAAGGTAGCAGAGTGTTCTAAAGTGCAGCTGATAGTTACCTGAATGACAGGGGATATATAGTGGAGATTAGTCAAGCTTTCAAAATAATCAGAGTATCCAAGGAAAACCCTAGTTACTCAGTCGCGCTGAACTCATCGCTGTCAAAAGACTTTGACTCAACTTCTAAATACAGAAAGATAGCATCACTAATCTCTCACTACCCTGGTAACCGTAAGTGTTTTGTTCGTGTGTTTTTGTGTTTGGTTCTGTTGCTGAACGTTTCACTTACTGAGCTGAACTCGCTATTAAGTTTTCAGATTCACCTAATTGTTTGTGCATGTCATAATTTCACTAATACTTTTCACTCCCACCATCTTGAACTTCCCATCATATTATGTATACATTCACTTTGTTGTTTGATCTTGTATTCTGTCTCTAGACAATCTTTGCTTCTGAGCAAAATCTGAACTCTGCTCCACCCTTCTTGTTTAATTACACTATAAATAGTTATCCATTTAACCCTGAATAATTCGTCTTCGTTGCAATTATGCTGCTCATACTTTCTATTCATAAATGGGCGTCACTGTGAGATAATTACGTTCAGAAATTTTATAAGCCGCATCATCCTGGCGAGAATCAAACATGCCCTAGATGAAAGACTTCGACCGGAACAGGCTGGATTCAGGAGAAACAAGTCATGCATTGATCAGATAGCCACATTACGAATTATCATTGAACAGAGTCTGGAATGGCAGTCACCTCTCTATCTCAACTTCATCGACTATGAAAAGGCATTTGACAGTGTCGATCGAGAGGTGCTTTGGCAACTACTTCGCTACTATGGGGTGCCACCGACAATTATGCATCTCATCCATCAGCTGTACGACAATGCTGCATGACAAGTAATCCATAACGGGAAACTCACGGAATCCTTCGAAGTGAGGACAGGAGTAAGACAAGGCTGGCTGCCTACTATCGCCAATGATTTTCCTGATTGCAGTATATTGAATAATGCGACAGACAGCAGCGGGCAATGAGGAAACAGGCATAAAATGGACTCACACAAAAAACTTGGAGGATCTGGACTTCGCCGATGATGATATATGTCTGATTTCCCACAAACTGGAAGATATGCAAGCGAAAAGCAACAAGTTGACAGAAGAAGCATCCAGAGAAGATAGGACTTCAGGTGAACATAGAGAAAACAGAGGTGATGAAGATTCCTGAACAAGAACAACAATAACAGACAACGATCGGCATAAATGGGAGGAACCTGAAAGAAACAACCTCCTTTAACTGCCTAACTGGGAAGCATCGTTTCAACTACTGGCGGACGGAACTGATGAGGATATCAAAGCAAGAATCGGAAAAGCAAGACAAGCTTTCACTACTCTCAAGTCTGTGTGGAGGTCAACAGCACTCAGCATCAAAAATAAGATCCTGATTGCCAACTCCAATGTGAAGTCGGTGCTACTCACTATACGGATCGGAGACTTGCACTGCGCGTCATAAAGAGCATCTCAAACAAACTACAGACATTCATTAACAGTTGTCTTCGCTCAATACTACTCAAGATCAGATGGCTGGCCAGAATAGATCAGCAACAGAGATCTCTGGTAATGAGCGAACCAACCCGTTAGGAACCGACTGTGAAACAAATAGGCAGGAAGAAGTGGAGATGGATTGGCCATACTATGAGGAAACAATCCATCAAGTGACATCACTAGACAAGCCATCGCTCGAATGGAACCCGGAAGGGAAGTGGCGAGTTGGTCGTCAGTGCAAGGGTGACTTGGAGGAGGTCATGTGAAGAGGAGATGAAAGCGTGTGGGCAGACTTGGAGCGAGGTGAAGACTGTAGCAGAGAACCGAACGCAATGGAGACGCACGGCTGATGCCCTATTTTCCTCTAGGAATTAAAGAAAACAAAAATAATAAATATTAATTTATTTTGATACTTTTTAAAATTTATGCTGTTGAAAAGAATCCACAAAATATAACGACTTCATATTATCCTGCAAATATATATTCGTACTTTCTTTGTTCAAACCAATCAAGGCAACCGGTTGTATGAATAAAGCTTTACTGACTGAAAACATATTGTATGCTATTCAAAGAAGAGTTACAATGACAAGAAGTCAATGTGTCATTTAGTGCATTAAATCAGTAAGAACTGAGCTACTTTATATATAGTGTAACTATCCTGGAATTATGCGTCTGATCTAATTACATATTTCGTAAGTTATAATAGATCCAGAAATCACATATAACACAGAATGTAGCGACCAATGATTTTTGAGAATTAAGTGATGATAACTTTGTAGACGAAAACTGAAGATCAGATTGCCAGAAACAGCTGGCAACAGGGAAATCTGCAGTGCAACGAGCCAACCAAAAATCTGTTGCTTAGTAAATATCTGGAAACACACGCTGAGGAGATCCTTAGGTGACATCACCCAACAGGCTGGCTCTCGATTGGGAAACGATGAGTTGAGAGTAGGTGTGAGGGAGATCGTGTGAGGTGGAGATGACAGCTCATGGGCAATCATGGAGTCAACTAAAACGGACTGCAGAGGACAAGGTAAAATGAAGATGTGTTGTTGAAGTCGTATGTTCCACTCGGAACCCAAGGGAATTATAATTAGAAAAGGAAAACTGAAGTATGCATTTATTAGACATCCACCAATGATATGTTTTCTGCTTCAGAATGATTTATTTTATTCAAGTCTGTGCTGATTTGTGCTAGTCTACAGTTCTGTGTTCAATATATTTAAACACTTGAACAAACTCTATTACAGAAAAGTACTACAATACCCATTAATTACATAAAACACACTTGATTAAGAATTACATAACAACACTGTTATCATCTGACTATCAATTAAGGTAATTGTCAATCATCATTATTATTATTCCTAAGGCTTACAGTTAACTGTTCAGATGTTAAACAAATAAACTTTTATTAATAAATCACTCACCTGTACGTGAACCAACAAATATATCAATCATGTATACAACATCAATGCAATAATCCAATGAAAGCCATGTAACTGGACTTAATTCATGAAATTGTGTAAATGCAGATCGCATGGGTAAAACAATAGCATTATAGAGTACTGTTATTGTAACTATTCCAATCCAATAATAGTATCCGCCTTCAGATGAATCAATCACTAAATTTTTCAAATTACTAGAAAAAGAAAAGAATAAAGAACAGGATGTTCAGGTTTACATATTTCACTTGATAAAAATGTTTAAATTAAAAGGAATGCAAATGGCCAAGTTAATCATTAGGCACCAATAAGTACCAACGGAGTACGACCTCAATAATGAATGACCTTGAATGGATCAGTCAAATTCCTCATGCGAATTCAAAGTAGATACCTGCTCTGACAGACTTACGTCTGATATCTGGTGCAGACGAAGTGTTCCAGTATTGTTTAGATGTGGGACTGATTGGAAGTGGGAGAATTTGTTCCTGTGGAGGTATTGTGTGTATAAAAAGCTTCAGTAGATCTGTTGATGGACACGTTTGCAGGTGTAAAGTTTGTTTGAGACGAGTTAGTGTATCAGAAGGCAAGCTGATGATTATATTATTTCGTAGAAACATTTTTCGGTAGATAACGCTTGTTATATACCCAAGTTGATATATTTTGCAATTACAGGGTAGTAATACACTCAGTGAGAGCTATAACTGCTGAATGGTCTCGTCTAAGCCGTTCAGTAGTAGCAGCATCATGAAAGATGGAGAAAGTTATTTCTTTATTGTGAGGTGAAACAGTGCTAATAAGGAGAAAATATAACCGAGGTTGTGAAAAAGCAAATGATCTTCTGCTGTCTGGAGTGTATGATACCACTTCACTGGAAGGATTCTTCAGAAGAATACTCATTATTACCAGATTGGAGAAACCGGGATCTATAATACACACAACTAAACAGAAACCATATAATTCATTGTGATCCACTGGATATATTCACAACAGAGTCAACCATTCTAGCGATTTTGTGGATTCTATTAAAGGCTGCAAAGCCAATTCTGTTGAAGGATTTTGGGGAAGACTGAAGAATAGGATTAGAGCTATTAACGGGTCTCAAAAGGAAGTCGTCTGGATGAGTACATGTATAGAATGTGGTTTAATGACTCTTTTGACACTAAAACTTCTCATTGAGATTTATGGAATTGCTTTGTTATTCGTCTAGCTTTCATACTTGATCTTGGAAGTTCCACCATCAGGCTTCAGCAAGCTTTTAGCGCCAGGTAATTGAAGAAGGGGTATATTTTCATGTTACATGCGTACATAGGTGTCGTTTTTTAATTTAGTCTGAACCTTGTCCAGTCGTAAACTGAGGAAAGAAATTTTTGTCAAACAAAGCTAATTTACTTCTTATCTAAATGGTGAATTTTTCCAAGAGCTCATGTATTCCATGATCTCATTTTCGTTTAGAAAAATAATGTTTGTCATCAGGCTTTAGCTTGACTATAAACCAAACTAACATCCTGTTAATCCTCAGACATGTTTGAAGCCTCTGTACTTAAGAGTCAACATTTCAGGGAAGACCAAGCTTTCCAGTCGAGCATTACCAATCAATAGGAAGTGCAAATTAACCAAATACAAATAACAGCTTTAGCTGTTTAGTGGATGAGAATTGTCAACTATGCTTAGATTTAAACACCACTAACTAACTGATAAGTGAAATAAGAATGTTGTTCTGATAGGTTCTTCGCATTTTAAATATCATATGCTATTAGCAGACCTCTGTAAATCAGTCGGCGTATCTTTTTAGTGTGTACACAACGAGTAAGATCAGCTAATACATTTCTTATGAATATTTACTGAGATAACGACTGTGGAGTAAGATTGTAAGGAGGTTGATGATGAATATTTGTATTTCTTCCCTGTTATCCAGCTGACTATTATTTACTTTTGTGAGTACTCATAGAAAATGTGTCAAAGGTGTTGCCTAGATTGACATCAGAAATCTTACAGATAATATTTAGTATCGATACTACTACTGTCAGGTTATCCATCATTTGAGCTATAAATACTTATCACCATAATTACAGGTTACATGATTTAAAAAAGTTCAACTTTATATGGTGACATGATATGTCTCGGGAAAACTGCAGATTTTGTTTAGAACAAAAGTATTAACAAAACAGTGCTTGTATCAGTCGGCTAGAGGGTGAGAAAGCACACAAAAACAACAACCAATCGTGCTCAAGGTTACCAAGAGTGATGACTAGTAAACTCGTGAAGAGATTTAGAAGCTCACTTCAAAATGAAGTGCGCTCTGAAGTGAGGATGTTCTCTAGTAAGGTAATGGAAGCTTCGCAACTAAACTATCCAGCTAAGAGAATACAACTGCACCGAAATCATCCACTCGAGCTACAAAACTTCTCCATTATATCTAGGAAAAATATCAGAGAAATTATTGATAGTTAAAGTTTAGAAAACCAACAGTTGCAGTAAAAACAGACATACATGGGTCGTAGAAAATTATTAGGTTTATAGCGTATGTCACTGTGGTATACTTTATTTTGAATTCGCTATTCCATTCCCAACATTTATTTCTTTACAGCTGTAAATATGTAACTTGTCGGCGAAATAGTGAGAATAAGTAGGCTATGAAATAAAGCGGTTGTTTTGGATAACGCGAACATACTTTATTATCACGTCAGATCAGGAAGTGAATTTCAAACGTGTGTTTCTACATCAGTTTAAGAAACCCAAACTCAAGACACTCACTTTGACAAAGAAAGAAGTTAATTCAGTCCACGATCGCTTTGAATAGACGCGCCAGTGATTCTAGTAATTACTATTTATTTTTATTTATTTATTATTTTGATTACAGCTTGATTCCACACCGTATTTTCAGTACAAGTATGGAATTTTCAGCATGGATATCGGTAGCCCAAATTTCGCAGGCCGACCATAGATATCGGGTGTGCGTCGGCAGGGGATCGAACCCCGGACCATGTGCATGGTCAGCGAGAGTCCTAACCACTGTGCCACCGACGCACAACGAACATTCACTGATATTTACTTTTTTAAACAATAAACATATTTAAAATTTGCCCGTGGAGAACCACTGAAAACCAGCAAGGAATACTGTACAGCTGTTTCATCCCAGTTTAGGACTCATCGGCAGTACGCACCAAATTAGGTTCAAACCCAGGACCTTCCGATCACAAGGAAAGCTCTTAAACCATTCAGTAATCCCTGGTTTCTAGTGTCTCTGTAACTGATATCAATCTGTGGTCGATCCTGAAACAAATCAAATCCCAAAAAACTCACTCTTCAAAATCAATATATCAATAAAAATTATCACCAAAAGAATTAATTGTAGCTTACCTCGGTAAATTTTTGAATTTTTGAAAAATTGTCAATTTTTTCTCCTCAGAATCACTTCCTGCTTCTTTTTTATTACCACTTTCAATATCTTTATTCTTGACAAGATTTTCTCCTGCAGGATCTGCTTTGTTCTTCTGCTTAAAATCTCTTTTGAAACACTGGATGAAAATAAATATTTGTGCATTCGGGTTAGAAAGGAATTTATCAAAGAAATTACTTGAAAATCTTTCGGTTTATATACACCTAGAAATTATAATGCGAGTGGAATTGTTTAGTGTCGTTTGACATTCAAGTGAATCATCTATGGTTGAAGATAGAAATTCATGTGAACATAGAGAAAACAGATGTGATGAAGATAACCAATCAATAGTACTAATTACCTTCAGTGGAGGAATTTTAAAAGAATTCATCTCTTCAACTTATGTCGCTAGGCAGTGTCGTGTCAACTACAGGCGGCAGGTATACAGATATCAGATCCAATCAGGATCACGATGGCAAGACTGCAGTTTATCACTCAGAAATCAGTGTAAAGACCTATAGCAGTCAGCAGAACAAACAAGATTCAAATTTTTAGCATAAATAACAAGTCAGTGCTTCTCTCTAGCTCAGCGACTTGACGTGTGCGTCACCGAAAGCACTTACGATATCCAGCTGCTCACGTTCATCAACATAAGCGCCTTCGCTGGTTCGATACTGGAGACCAGATGGCCTATCAGAAAAGATGAGAAACAATGAACTGTGCAGCAGTCAACCACTAAACAGTCTATTACCCAGCAAATACACAGAAAGTGATGGGTATGAGAAGGACATATGCCGGGGAGATCGTTGAGTGAGGTCATACGTCACGCAGGTAGTAGATTGAGGCCCAAACTGGAAATGAACAACGAGTGGTGCATCCAAGTGTGATATGGATAGGAGGAAGTGAAAGTTTATGGAAAGTCATGGAGTAAGCTGAAAGTGATAGAAGAGAATCGGCTGGAATGAAGATGTACTGATGAAGTCCTGTGTCCCACTCGGAACCCAGGTAACTAACAGTAATAATAGTAATGGTTGAAAGCTCATAGCAGTAACAGCTTAGATCACGTATTATTCAGCAAAGCTTCTTTTCAGTTGAGTACTGTGAATCTCTCAATATGGATGGTAACATCTCACAGTGTCTCATCCGATTTTCTAGACGCAGATGGTTACTGAGATGCTTACTGCCTAAGATATAATTTTATAGTAGTCCAATTAATGGAGGCGCATAAGTCAAATGTACTGACCAAATGTTATGGTGTGTTAGAACTTAGTTATCCGGCGCAGATCCTTTATGTTACAGGTTATGAGCTATATGCTTAATTTGTGAGGTCTGGTGATAATAACCTGTTGCTCTTGTTGGGATAAGGCGGTTCCATATTCAAATCCCAGATCAATTTTCTGAAAGCCGTGTGATTAAACCAATGCTATGTTCATTCCTTGTTCGTTTTTGTTAACAAGTTCATTTTAATGAAAGTCAGTAATGTAAGTAGCAAGATAATGTGAGTTGCTGAATTTTGTAAAGACCTATATAGACTATGCATACGTTAGTGAATAGCGGTAGTTTGAAGAATACGCTTAGTTAAGTATTGTAATGCTATAAAAACTAGCATGATACCACTAAATGAGTTTTCTATTTTCTCTTTTTCAGAAAGGAACGCGGGCGTGGCCGTGCTAGAGCAAGAAGAAGACCGTATGTCAAACCTTATTATAAAGGACGATAATTAGCTTGTACCCGGGTAATCTGAACCCTGCGTGCTGGAAATAAAGACCTTCCTTTCGCATTTTCGTCTTCTTCCTTCACTGGTGGTGCCTGTTGCTTCTAAGTGTTACAGTATTAAAAGACGCCAATCATTCAGATGATGAAGTTCCCTTGATAAGCAGATCAATATTAGTTGTAAATCTTGTGTTCAATTTGGTTGCTTGGTTTTTGAAATGAAATAGTTAGAAATTGATGCATAAAATTAGAGACAGAATAAATTCCGGTGAATTGAAGTCATTTAACCAACCGCTTTGCAACTGACATCTTGTCCTTCATCACTGCTAACAAGTAGTTAATATTTCTTCCATTCAAATAGAAAATTTATTAATGTGTACTTCTAAATCAAAAGATATTTACTATGACAGTCAATTGAACCTATTTCTACCTGTATATTCATCGATGACGAGTTATTGCATACTCTGTTTACCTAGATGCATGCAAAGTTTCTTTCTAAAAATTTCCATTAGACTTTATTGATCTTTAATGCCCAGTAATGTGTATACGGCAGAAAGTTGTGAATTAGAGCAGCAACCGCATTGTTCTTCTTTGAAAAAAAGTACTTTTGAAGAGACAGTTTTTTCTGCAGGAACTTGTCTATCTCGTCTGTCCAAGTGTGTTAATGTAAGAGTAGGATTTGGAAACTGTGGTAGAGTATAATTCTATGTTAGGTGAGCTTATTTGATACAACACACAGTCATACATTATTAATAACTGATATAAGATTGTTGGAGGCAATCGGCAGGAAGTCTTCCATCTAGGTTTCGTGCTAGTTGGCACTCACCAGTCAGCAAAGTATATCTGAAACCACGAAGGAATTCATATCCCTTCTGAAATTCAAACCCGCGTAACCCAGTGAGTTCTGCAGTCAGATATGTTACCACTGAGCTATTTGGGCTCAACACTGACTTCCTGTGGGTCTGTATACCATTTACTTTTGATTGGACACTAGTCAGTAACTAGTGAAATGTGTCTAGTCCCATCTATGGTGCTGACTGAATTCTATCAGTCACGTTTGCATTGATGACAGCATCCCACGAGCGTGCCGATTGCCTCCAGCCATCTTACACCAACAGTTCACAGTGCACTGTGATGGTGAACAACCTAGCATGATGGCCACATTGCAAATTTTACTGATAGAATTCAGTCTGAACAAAAAATAGGACTAGACACATTACACTAGTTACTGACCAGTGTGCAATCAAAAAAATTTAATAACTGAATGACATTTCGAGCACAATCTATTGGTGCTCATAATCATACTAATGAATTCACACACGACTTCATAATTCACCTCATATATTTGTTCTCTCCACCTTGTTGTTTATTGTAATTCTACATATATCCAGTATAGGTGGTGATTCATTTCGATTGCAAGTGTTCGGTGTTGATTCGATAAACACAGATTCAGTGATTCACCTCTCTCTCTTTCCCTCTCCACCTAACTATATTACTTTTTAATACCTTCACCCTATCCCACTGTGTTGTGTGATAACATGTAAGTTGTGAATGCATTGCGATGGCCGAGCTTATTTCTAGGTTATTTAACATAGTGGGGTCAATCATTTTAGGTCTAGCTGAATTTCTGTGTTCCGATAATCTAACTGACCAATTCACCTTTGATTCAGAAAATGAACAACATAGGTCGGTTATGTTAGAATGCGAGATAAAACGAAAATAAGACGGTGGGTTAGATACTAATATTTATAGGAAAGCATCACAAACTAATGAACATTCAGACTTTAATTCATCCCACCTAGAATCGGCAAATGTTTAGTTAAATGTCTATATAATCGGAACAGGAGACTACCTAGTAAGTGAGAAGAATTAAATGAGGAAATCAAACAAATGAGGAAAAAAATGCTGACGAATAACTACTCACTAGAATTTATTCAAAAACTTATGAAGATTCATGAGAAAGTAAGATTAGTAGTGAAAATGATAAAAATAACGTGAATAATATAGAATTCAAAGCCTTTGAAGCACTATGGCGTGAAGAAAGAACATTAGAGGCCCCACGTAGGATTCTTAATGAGGTTGAAATTAGGGTGGCATTTAAACCAACCAGCTATCTCCGAGATAAGCTTTTTCGGCTGAAGGACCCAATAGTACAAATTAGAAAATCAATAAAATTTGCCGAATGCTATGTAATGAATATGAGGTCAATTACATGGATCAGACTAGTAGATCAGCGTCAGTTAGATTATCTGAACATAGAAATTCAGCTAGACCTACAATGATTGACTATGTTAAATAACCTAGAAATAAGCTCGGCCATTGCAATGCATTCACAACTTACATGTCATCACACAACACGGTGGGATAGGGTGAAGGTATTAAGAAGTAACATAGTTAGGTGGAGAGGGAAAGAGAGAGAGGTGAATCAGTGAATCTGTGTTTATCGAATCAACACCGAACACTTGCAATCGAAATAAATCACCACCTATACTGGATATATGTAGAATTACAATAAACAACAAGGTGGAGATAAAAAATAGAAAAGGAGAATTATGAAGTTGTGTGTGAATTCATTAGTATGATTATGAGCAGCGATAAAGTGTGCTGGAAACGTCATCTAGTTGTTAATACTGTAAGACTCTATGTTATATAAAATAAATTTATTCGGGATCATCCATGTGTGCTTTATTCTTTAAAGACTATGCCTTTAAATTATCTTAAAAAGAACCCTGGAAGTATTTCAGCCTCTACATTTTAGTGTCTGTCTTCTTTGCGCTAACAGTTACATATATCTGCTAGTTATATCTTTGAATCTAAAATTTGATACCGTGATGGCCTAGTGTTCGAGACCGTTAGCAGCAAGCGGGCCTGGTAGGTGAGTAATAAGAATATGGAAGCTTATAGACGTTTTACCATAACTAATTGTATTTTCGGAACAAAACTGATATAGAGTGTTTCAGCTGAAACAAGGTAAGGTGAAATAGACTAGATATTGAGCATTTATATTACTACGAAAAATTGACTGTAAACTGTATAGCTAATCTCTGCCTTAACTCCAAGGCGAAGAGATAAAAGTAGTGATATTGGATAGAAGAGGTTATTGTGGAAAATGCAACGGGAGTGTGGATTTGTGTGGTTAATAAACTTTAATAAACAAAAGAAAGGTGAACAGTATACATAAACACACAATCAAGTTAAATAGGAAAAGTGGTCCATTGAACAGCAAACATCTCAGTATACAGTAGTTTAAAAATAACGAAGTTAAATGAACATAATTACTAATGTGTTATTCGATGTAAATACTATATTAGGATTTGATGGCCCAGACAGCAGTAAACGTCTCTCACTATATACAACAGTTCACCTGAATTCAGAATAATCATTTCTCAGAAAAACACTTGGTCACTATATTAGTAGGATAAGACA